ATAGATAGATAGATAGATAGATAGATAGATAGATAGATAGATAGATAGATAGATAGATGGATAGATAGATGGATAGATAGAGGGCACAGGGTGAGTTGAAGATGAAGGGGTGATATCTAAAAAATAAAATTAAGGGGTGAGAGAGGATTATATTGGGAGAAGGAGAAAGGGAGAGGTAGAACGGGGTAAATTATCTCACATAAAACAGACAAGAAAAAGCTTGTACAGTAGAGGGGAAGTGGGGGAAGGTAAGAGGGAATGAGAGAATCTTATTCTCATCAGATTTGGTTTAAGGGGGGAATAACATACATACTCAATTGAGTATGGAAATCTATCTTACCCTACAGGAAAATGGGGGGGAAGGGGATAAAAAAGGGGTGTATGATAGAAGGGAGGGCAGATTGGGGAAGGGGGTAATCAGAAGCAAACACTTTTAAGGAGGGACAGGGAAGAAAGAATAGAATAAATGGGGGGCAGGACAAGATAAAGAGAAATATAGTTAGTTTTTTACAACATGACTACTATGGAAGTATTTCACACCACTACACATGTATAACCTGTATTGAATTGCTTGCCTTCTCAATGAGGGTGGGTGGGGAAGGAGGAAGGGAGAAAATTTGGAACCCAAAGTTTTAAAAACAAATGTTAAAAATTGTTTTCACATGCAACTAGGAAATAAGATATACAGGCAATTGGGTATAGAAATCTACAGTGCCATACAGGGAAACAGAAAGGGAAGGGGATAAGAGAAGGGGGGGGGGGGGAGACAGAAGGGGGGAAAGATTAGGGGAGGGGGTATTCAAAACACACGGCGCCTGGGGGGGGGGGGGAGGGGTGAGATGGAGAGAAAATTTGGAACTCAAAATCTTGTGGAAATGAATGATGAAAAATAAAAATTAATAAATTAATAAATGTTTTTTTAAAAAAAGATTCTGGATCACCTTTTCCAATTGGTTGACTGTCTTCTTGTAATATTTTTTTTCTTGGATTGTTTTTCTTTTTTAAAAAATTTTCCTTCAATCTCTCTCATTTGATTTTTAAAGTCTTTTTTAAGTTCTTCTATGAATTCTTTTTGGGCAGGTGACCATTTGATGTTACTCTTTGGGGTAGGAGAGTTTTGTTTTTTTTTTTTTACTTCAGTATCCTCCTCTGAAGATGAACCCCAGTCTTCTCTATTCCCATAGTAACTTTCCTTTGCCTGCTCATTTTTTAAAAATTTGTAGCAGCTTATTATTGTAATCACCTCTAGAGGACATGGTACGTCTGGCATCAGATCCTCCTTCAGTTCTCCCCTCTTGCCTGGAAATGAAACCAAGACCTCCAGCTTCCTGTAAGTGCCCACAGCCAATGGCACCCATGCACCACTGCTTCTGCATTCACCAGGCACGTGCTGGTTCTTTCTTATCCAGGGCTGTATATTGGCAGCACAGCTGGGCCCAGTGTCCCTAAAGTAATTTTTCTTAAGCACATTGTGAACATATCACACTCTCCCCCACCCCAATAAATAAATTCCCATGGCTTCATATTACCTCAAGGATCAAATACCAAATATTCTATTTAGTATGTAAAGCCCTTCACGTTTGACCCCTTCCTATCTATGCAGCTGGTCCCGTAACACTGATCTACTGGCTCTTCTGACTATCTTCCATTCCTGGAATGCCCTCAATCCTGTCCTCCACCCTGTAGAATACCTCACTTCCTTTAAGACTCAGGCCAGTGACATCTCCTCCAAGAGACTTCTCCTGGTTCCCCCAGCCTTCCTCTCTAAAGCTTCCTGTCATATGATCATACGTATCTTATAGTTACATTTTTATATATTCATATGTGTTGTTCCCCCCATTAAAATGTAAGTTCTTCGAGGGTAGATATTCTTTTTGCTTTTTACTTGTATCCTCAGCACTTAACACAGGGTATAACACTCAGTAAAGTAGTTAATAAATGTTCTTGAATGATACATTTCTATCAAAGATGGTTCAATTTTTTGCTGCCTTCTGCCCTTTGCCGGGGTGGAGGGGGGGAAGAAAAGAGAAAGGGATCTATAAGGAGAGAAAGGGAGAGAAGGGGGGAAAGAGACAAGAGGAGAAGAGAGGAATAGACAAACCTGACGAGAATTTAGAGGGAGGGATTGAAAAAATATTACCATACACTGCTCATTTAAATTAATTACTTTAAATGTAAATATACACAAGCAAGTTCAATTGATTATATTGATGTTTAGTGAGAAAATTATTTTTTAAGGTGCTTAATAAATGTTTATTGGTTGATTGATTGATAGTGGCCAAGACTGTCATGATAAGGTCACACACAATGTAAACTGAGAAAATGGTAAACCCTGCTATTTTAGACATGCCTGCTCTCTTGATATACCTCTCCCCCTAATAAGAAATTTCTAATGAAATTTTTAATGATTTAAAAATAAGTGAGAGCTACTGGTAGTTAAAATTTTGTGGACTGGGAAAAATTTGCTACAGACTGTTTCATAGAGACAGCCTCATCAACTGGAAAACACTGACCTAAAACTCAATATTAGATAAGGAATGACTTTGGTACCTGTAACTGAGGAAACGTTTATTATAAGTCAAAGCTTAACTTAAAAAATACATACGATGTTTCTAAAACTCTTCCAAAAGCTCAGTGTGTCCTAGATGCACACATGCAACCCACCGCTTTTGGACATCACTCCAGTCCCTCTGAAGCATCTCATTCTCTCTCTGCAGGTGTCTGTTCTTGGCGAGCTGGTCAGTCACACAGTTTAGGCAATAGCTCATCAGTTCTCGGATGACTTCAGCTGGGCTTGAGACTTTCTGCAGGTTTAGTGATCCAAGTATGAACTGGGACAAAAGGAAAAACTGAGTTAATTTCTAGTGTCTAAAAAAGATTAAGTAACCTGGTTTCAAACCCAAGGTTTTTCGTGTTTTATTTTTATTTTTTTTAAACAGGCAAAAAATGTAAAGCATAAATACCACTTCACTTGAACATTTCAGATGTTAGGGAGAAATTTAAGTATTTTACCAATTTTATTTTTCCTATTCATGTTCATAATAGTAATAAAAATACAACCTAATAGCAATGGTAAGGACCCACCAAAAAAACATTCTATCTATTACCACAAAAGTTCAGTTACTGCTGTTGTTCAGTTGTGTTCAACTCTTTGTGACCCCATTTGGATTTTTATTGGCAAAGATACTAGAGTGATTTGCTATTTCCTTTTCCAGCTCATTTTACAGATGAGGAACCAACACAGGCAGGGTTAAGGGACTTGATCAGGGTCACACAGTTACTAAGTGTCTGAAGTCAAATTTGAACAGAGGAAGATGAGTCTTTCTGACTTCAGGCCAGGCACTCTATCCACTGCACCACCTAGTTGCTCAACAAAACGCCAGTACCATTTATTTATTTGTTACCAACCTAATTTGCATTCTCTTTATTCAGTTAAAACTGTTTACACCAACACATTTTAATGCTAATCTCTGGTAATGTATATGGGAAGGACATAATGAAGTTCAACATTGCTTAAAGATTTTAAAAATAGCTATATTCAGGAAAAGGGAGAGTTGTAGGCTATCAATAATATTGTTTAACACTACATACCAAAAAGTCAAAAGGAAAAGCTATGTACTTAGCTCCTATATTTAAAATCAATGTCTAAAACCACAAATAAGAACAAGTTAAGTATGTAGTAATATGTTTTAAGTTTGGTTTGAGGGCTTTTTGAACCTGAACTATAATTTCATCAAGTCAGGGGAATGGCATGTACAGAAACTGCCTACATTTGTATGGAACTCCTTCCATTGACTATGTCTTCATATCCCTAAAGAACTGCTTGGGCACAAAGGATTAAGTGATTTTCCCAGTGTCATAAAGTCACTATGTGTCAGAAGCAGGATTTGACATAAGGTCTTTCTGATTCCAAAGTCTGTCTTCTATCCACTACACCAGCAGTGTCAAACTCAAATAGAAACAAGGGCCATTAGATAGTACATAAGGATCCTTGCTGGTCACATACTGGCTTAAAAAACCACATATTAACGTTATCTATGTTCAATTGTATTTTTATTTTATTAAATATTTCTCAATTACATTTTAATCTGGTTCAGACAGCACTCCAGCTGTGATGTGGCCTGCAGCCATGCATTTAACAACTCTATACTATATGATGCTGCCTTTATAAATTTACCCCTTCCACATCACAGGGGGGCGTGGCACCCCTGCAATGTGGAAAATCCATGTAAAAATTTTCGGCCCTCTCTTCATACCAGAGAAGAAGTCTGAATTATTATGTTATTAAAAGATAAAATGTTGATATTATACAATCCTATACACATATTTTATGCATTTCTGAGTTTCTAAACTTTTTCTGTGTCATCTGCTGGCCTTTATGTGTTGTCTGCAGCTTCTGTAAAAACTCCCCAAAAATTGTTATTTAATTTCTTATGCCAACCCATGATATACTGCAACCATGATGGGGAAAGTCATGATGTGGAAAGGATAACTGTATTAATACATTATATAGAAGCAAGTGATGAATTAGTGAATGAATGAATGAAAACTGTTTATTAAGCTCTTTCATGTGTAAAGCATCGTGCTAAGTTCTAGGAAGACAAATTGAAAAGCAAGCCAGTCCCTGTTCTCAAGGAGCTCACACTCTACTGAGAAGAGACAACTCCCATAGGAGGTTTCAGGGGCAAGTCAAATGGAAAGGCCCTGTGGTCCTCAGGGTGCAACAGCAAAGCAGATAGCAATCTTCTTTACCGCCATTTCCTCTGATAAAACAATATCTGTTTCTGATAATGCCAAGGACTTTGGTCTCGTCAACTTCTTTTTCTAGGTCTTCAGTAGCTACAACCGCTAAGCTTTTTAAGCACACACAGGTTACCAGGCCGAATCTCCACAAGGGTTGCTCCCTTGGTTACTGTCAGGGGGAGACTGGGGACTGGAAGTAGGGTAGATTGAAGGTGAGGAGGATGCTTGGGTTTACCTCCTCCTTGGTGAAAGCTGGTTGAAAACATGTTAGTGGTGGCAGGGATGGTGGGTACTTTCTCTACAAGGTTGGTACCCTCAGGGTTGATGGCTGGGGCGGGGGAGGGTGGGGGTGGAAGCAGGGATGGTGATGGAGGCAGCAATGATATTACAAGAGCTCTCTATTTTTCTGCCCCTTGGTATCAGTTAGTGGTATTGGTGGGAGAGAGGAAAATTGACTCCTTTCCCACAAAGCTTGCTCCCCTAGAAAACAGCTGAAAGACCCAGGCTGAAAGAAAGGTTGATGGTCTCAGGGCCATTGTTATTCCAGAGGCTCATGAGCTCAGGGTTTAAAGGGGATACTATTCCAGAGTAGTGGTGGTGGTTTCACTCTCCTGGCACATGCTGCCTCCTGTTTCTTCCTCAGGGTGCTTTGCTGCTTCAGCAAGACTGGCTTGCCTGCCCTATTGGTGGCAGTTGGTGAGACCATGAACCTAATGATACAATTAGAAAAAGACCTTAGCACAGTGCTTGGAACACAGTTAGGTACTTAATAAATGTTAACTGACTGACTGGAACATCTGGCTTCTTCTTTTACTGAAATACTGTAATATGTATTGGGGTGTGTGTATATACACACACATATATATGTATATACACATACACACACAATAAGCACATATTTGACTTCCTAAGACCAGAGAATTTAGTCAGTCATGAAATCACGAACTTCTGAGATCACCTAGTCTAACCACCTCATGGACTGACTGACTGAATGAATGAAAAAGCATTTAGTAAACACTTGCCATATACATTTTACAGGTGAGATAACTGAAGCACATAAATATTAAACGATTTGCACAAAGTTGCATGCCAAGTTAGTGTCAAAACCAAGAAACAGAAGACCAGTCTTCTAATTCGGCTAAATGATCAAAATACCACAAATGACTGTGACTAAGAAAATTCCCTAAGTGGACAACAATTGAAGAATACAATATTATCCTGATTGTTTAAAATGTGTTAAAAGATAAGCTATAGTATGTATGAAGATGAGATTCAGCAAGGTGCAGTAGTGGAGAGAGTACTGGATCCGAACTCAGAGAGCTAGGTTCAGATATGAGCTGTGCCATTTACTGTGTAACCCTGAACAAGTTACTTAATCTCTTTGAGCAACCTTCTTGATTAAGTCCATTGGTAGGTATATTTCTGATAGGCATTCTAGAGCAGTGATTGGCTATGTCCAGAATTGAAAAGGAGTAGGAAATTAGGCCAAATTGCCTTGGGAAACTATGCCATCAGTTCAATGACCCTAAAATGATCACCAAATCAAAAGTCTAGAATTTGCACTCTAAGTATCACCAAGTTATGCTAAACGGCTAAGAATCCTGGAATAACAATCTCAGAAGAATCAACATTTCAGTTGCCCCAAAGGACAACAAAAATTGAGCCATGGTGGTTCAAGTGGTACCACATATTTCTAACAATGATTTGTTCAAAAGAGGTAGGATAAAAAACATCATTAAGGACCTATATGATTCAAAAGACAGGTGTGCCAATCATGTATCAAGAGAGGACAATAAACTAAGGACAACCTAAGTGCTGTACTTGCACCTCCCAAAACATTAAAATAACTGAGGAAGTTTATGTGAACATTAGGTGACTCCCCCAAAAAGTATTCACAGAAAGGTGGATAAGAAATGCGCAGGGTAGGAAGACATGGAGGGCCTATGATATATGTCACTGCAGAGACTATCCATACCAAGAAGATCATAGATTTGTTGAAGTATTAAAATATTGTTTCACAATTATCTGGTTCCATCACAGCTTTCTCATGAGCTGTAATATGAAAAGTTAAAAAAAAGTCCTACATAGGATAACATTTAAAATTTTATTTAAAGCACCAGAAATGTAATTGTATTTCTAATTTTTTAAAGCTAAAAATCCAGAGACTACTAAAAGTTAAATGGCCCACTTATTTCTTTCCCTTGAGTGTATAAAAGTAAGACACTTAAAAATAAGCCACCCTGGCACCCAAATCTACTGTCACTTGAATAACTGTTGAGTAGAACAGAACAAAGACCCAGAGAGGGGAATACAGAAATAGAGAGCTCTGTATCTGTTTTGGGGGAGTGGAGGGGCTGGCTAAATTTGGGGATGAGTTGCATTTGAAGGTTTTAATTTTTTTTTTACTTTTATTTATAAACTTGTGATTATCTTAGGATAAGACTTAAAGAATTTTTTTTGGTTTCTAAAACTTTATGGTATTTCAGATACTATGGGTCATCTACATAGCATAATTTTACATTTTTCCCCTAACAAGTTTTTATAATAATTTAATTCCTTGAGAATGCCCTTTATATAATATTCTTAAAATTATTTGGCAGGATACACTTCCAACAATGTACATGTTGAGGAATAAATTAGTCAGTTTACAAAAAAATTTAAAGGCTAGCAAAATGTCCCTACATACCACCCGGTTCCCCTAGAGTACTATTTTTAAACGATGTCAAGTAGTTCTTAGATCTTGTGACTATTTGGATTTGTAACTCTGTAGAGTGGGCCTCTTTGGCTGATTTATGTTCATTAACTTGTTTAACATCTTCTGAAAGAAAACCATAGTTAAAGAGTTCTTACTTAACATTTCAGAAACCCTGCCAGGAGACTTAAGGATCATTTGTCTGTATTGTGACAACTTTTATTAGGTCTCTCTCTTCATTCTGTTTAAAGAAAAAACAATAGACCTTTTTTCTTCTTCAGAATATACTAACTAATCTACAGGCACAGAAATATGAGTTCAATTAGGAACACATTTACTATTATTTCATTTTACTTTTCTTTTTCAATCACTATAGCTCATAAAATCCATCCCTGT